GAACACACAAAGTCTCTGCAAAGGATTGCAAGTAAGCAATGAAAACCACAAAAGGTGTTGATAAATTATTCCATTAACTTGACAATCTTATTACAGAAAATAATATCTTTCTTTTAACTGTTTCAAGTTTTTATTTCCTGCTACTGAATCTTGTTTGTGCTTCTTGGGTTAAATGATAATTTGATGTACTGTTTGCAGGTGGAGGGGTTGTCTCCTTACTAAATTTTGACTCATTTAAAAATAAGAGAAAGTTCTTGGCTACTTCAACAATACAAAGAAATCCCTTCCATTACATCTTAGAAATTATTTTCTGCATTATGGTCATCCTTACTGTTCTCTTGATGCATATTATCTTTGAAGTTGAACAGGATTTTGTACCCATTTATGAAGCATAAGAGGGAAGGTGTTTTTGCTGCATTAGGGAGAAAGCAAACCTCTTCAAAAAAAACAAAACACTGGCAAATTGGAGGTGAATTCAGTGCTCAAACTAATTTGAAGCAAATAAGTGATGGGTCAGATTATTTCACTGATATAATTAAAAAATGCCACCATCTCACTCAAAAGTTTGTAGAAGACGTAGACATTAATTAAATTATGACATTTGCTTGCATATCACTTCCAATGCCTGAAGATCCTTGCATAGCTGAGAAGACCCTTTGTTTCCTATATATTCTTTATATTTTTGCCCTAAATCAAAAGGCTGAACAATGCAAATTACAAAATACGTGAAGTCAGCGACTTTCCCCTCAACATTAAGAATGATGAGTCTGTGAGAGACAACAGTACACAATTTTTTGTCAATAGCACAATGATTTAAAAGCCTTTTCTCCAGGGCATGGCATCTTTTCCTAGCTGAAAGGGCAAGCTTAGGCTATTGCAATGTTAAGCAGCTGATGAATGACCTTGTTGTCACACTTGTTTTAGGGATTGATCATGTCCAATTAATTCCTAGAAGAAATCAATTGTTCTTACCTAGCTCATTTACATTAATGAGAAAATATTAATGACTCCACAGTCTATAAGTATGGGAAAGAGAGGCTGCATTCACATTTCAGCCTAGTGGTCTTTAAAGAGAATTCATTATCTCCTCCTGTGAGAGCAAAGCAAATATAATTTTTTTCCTCAGTCATTCAGCATTAAAACCAAGTATTTATCTAGATATTTAACTGGTAATTTAATCATATAGCAAATAGTCTTGCATTGCTGTCTTATTTTTATGGATGTAATATTTATTATGCATGATAGAAAGCACATGATAATTTTCCTGCATTGCTAACTTTAGTTTGAACTTTGCCCAGGAACTCAAGACCACAATAATGATTTCCTGTTCTGAGTCCAACATGCCATAAGAGGAGCAACGATACAAATGTGCAGGTAAAAGCAGTACATATTTCATTACTGGAAATTATCCTTAGGAAAACATTCAAACAATCTTTGTGGCGAGATTTAAAACTCACAACAATTGCCAAAAATCTAAATAGTGCTTTATCAAATGCTGGGATTAGTGTGTTTGTGAGCTACATGCTACGAAAAGCCCATGTCTGAGCAAGCATCCTGAACATTCCTCCCAAAGGAAGAAATACAATAGGAAGGTGCAGCTCAAGACAAGATTCACAATTTGATTGCTACATTTTCTGTTCAGTGCATACTGTTATGATTTCTGGTAAAACGTACTAGTTAAGTGTTACAGTAAATTGATCACATAATACTATGGAATTTATCATGTAATAGAAAAGGAATTTAAGAGCTGCATACCTAATATGATTAATAAAATGGGCTTGTGGATAGAGACAGAGGATATGGTTTATATTATTACCTGATCCTAGACTACATTAAAGAGCCAGTAAAATTAGAATTGCAAGGACAAAATAAACATTTAATAGGACTTTTCAGTTGGAAACTTCTGACTGGCTAACTTCTGACAACCATGGGTGTTTACTCCCTGCATCTCCTCTACTTCTAGAAATGACCTTTGAGCTTGGATTCTCACATTGATCAGAAGTCCAAGCACACCTGTGTAGAGAGGCTCTGCTGCCACCCTCTGTGATATCTGAGATGAATCAAAATACTAACTGTAAGTAAAATGCCAACCACTCTAAAGATCTAAGGACACAGATACCTAGTTGTGAAAGAACTGACATAGTGGAAAATTATTTGCATATAATTAAATATTTTAAATAATATCAGTAACTCTAAGGTACTGGCACACAAGGAATTAAAGGATAAATTAAATTGTCTTTGTAGGCTACCTTTGAAAAACTATCACAGAGAATGAACCTTAACTATGTGTTTATCTAGTCCAGTTCATTGATACAATCATTTTTTTATCCTAGAACTTTTAAAAAGAAGTACATAGGGGAGAACAAACAGGCAAATTTTTCCAGGTTGTCTAGCATCTCTTAATCTGAAATTCAGTAAGGTGCATAACTGATTAATAACGAAGGATGTGTTTGATTAATTCCTCATGAGACAGATACAATACTGAGAGCAAACTGCCTGTGAAAAGGACTTTTATTATTACCTGAGAATGGCTAGTTATCCAGACCACACTTGTGATAATTCAAATCTATTTTATACCAGGGCAGGTATAATGCTGTTTCTTTGGTCCCATTTCTGTGAGACCAGCCCCTATTTAAATAAACAGCTTCCTACCCTACACAACATTTCTCATTCACTACTTTAATATCTATTGCCAGTTAAACCACTGATCAATGTGGTCATTTGGGCATACAGAAGATGAGTGCTTTAGAAGAACAGCCAATATCGAATCAAAACTCTTCTGATTTTTTTTTAATCACAAAATTACCAAGCTAATGCTGTCTCCAGCAGTAGCAAAGCCATTCAGTTCTGGTGCAGGGGAAATCTACCCTTTCTCAATGGGTCTTCAAAAGTGAGCAGTCTTCCACCTTTTCTCCTCACCTTTTCCACTTGCACTTTATTTTTCTGCAATTCTGCCCAACAAATAAGTAAGATTCTCAAGTACAAGGTGCTTATGATACTACTGTTTGTTTTATTCTGAATGACAATGATGTAGCACCTTTGCTGGTGCTCTGCAATGGGTTATTCATCCAAACTGTTCACCAGAAATAAAATTTAGCTTTAAACCTTCCGTTTTTCAGAAACAGCAGAACTAAAATTAGCCATACAACTTTAACTCTCTAGTTAAACAGTATCTGAAAATGTTACTTCCAGGTAATTAAAATATTAGTCTGCCTTTATGACCTAATAAATATTCTCTTACACATGAGAAGGAAAAAAAAAAATCATCCTTCATGCTCACTGAAAAGAACATTAGACCCTTATTCGCCTATTTGGGAAAGGGCTGGGGGAAAGAAACCTTGTGTGCAAAAAAAAATTCATGCTATTGCATTGTGACAATCATGCTTGCATATTCACCTGAATAGTACCAATTTGCTAATATTGTTTTCATAAATGAACAGTTTTTCTACATCATTTATCTTTATCCTAGTATCTGCATACATACTGCAAAATACTAGAATATATAATTTGCTTTTTTCTAGATCTTATTTAGTACAAGGGAACGAACACTTCACAAAGAAAAAAGTCAACTTTGTATCCAGACATCTCCTAGTATGTCACTTGTGGAGTTACGGTTCTGTTTGTCAAGGGGTAAATTGTTTTTTTCTTTTTTGGGAAAAAAAATCAAACATCAATAACAGGAATGTCTTAGCTGTTAACTGGGCAAGTAAGATCCTCCTGATTCATTCCACAGTCTTTGCCAATCTTCTAAAACACAAGCATAGCAGTTTCTTCAATCATAATTTAATAAATATCAGAGATCTGTTTCTCCTTATCAAGGGAAAAAAAAAAAAGAAAAATGAGGAAGGTGATTGTGGAAGAGGCCTTAGCTTGTCATTTACAGCATCTTGCTTCTCATGATAGTTGAGATTGTCAAGCATTTACACACATTAGCTGCAAATACATAAAAGGAGGAGGTTCCTTTCCTGTTTATACTTTTACTAAAAATGGAGTTCCAGAAAAAATTCATCATTTGCACAGCTACCTGGAGGACTCAACAAGCATGCTGAAATAATAGGGAATGTGGACCAGTGTATTTGTTCAATGAATACCATATGGATTTTGGAATTTGGCAATCAGAGATCTGGCTTCTCTTTATAATGTATTTGGGACAGATTGGAATATTTTTTGTGTAATTGCTATAACCAGGTGCTTTTGTCTCACTGCAGTTAAACTACCTTTTTACTATCCCTGTTTCTGTAAGGAAGACAGAATTGGAAATCATTATATAAGGTTTACACTGGCCTATCTCTTGCCTGTTCATGCCCATGATTATTTCTTTACTTTTTAAATAAAGTCGCTGATGGGCCTATTACTTCCTAGCTATGCCAGTAAAATATTCTGTAGTTGCACTTAGTTATTAAAAGGTGTAATAAACCTTAATTGAAAGAAAGACATATGTCTTCATGAACTGAATTTTGTAGCACAAAGTTTATCAAAAGGAAGACTTGAAATACTGAAAGAAGAAACTCCCTACAAGGATCTGATTTATTCTTGAAATAGTTAAAAGAATTTATAGTGAACATTCTGAGAATAATCAGGAAACATATCTAACCTGACAAGCAAAACTAAGACTTAACCCTCACTTAAATTTGTCCCAGAGATTCAGATACCTGGGAACAGTAGGATTTAATTGTTGAAGTTTGGTTTGATACTACAAGATTTGCAAGGTTATTGCAATATTTGTCAATCACCCTTAAAGTATATCTGGGGAGAAGCAAATAACTTTGTCTAGCATCTTTGGGTATATTATTCATCAGGAACCTCTGATAGCAGAAAGTATTCTAACAGACAAAAAAATCCTATGCCTGCTAAAAGCGTTAAGAGCAAGCTCAACTGCAGAGTTTCCACACCAAATGCCAAAACTACATAACACAGGGAACTGTGGCTAGACAACATAAATTCAAACTTCATGCTTTACACTTCTAAGCAGTTTTAAACACTGACAGATTTCAGACAGATTTTTGGAGAGATTTCTTTTTTATTTTTTTTGATACCACAGAAATACTGACTCAGTCAGGAGGTCCACTGACATTGGTGTCTTTATAGACTGACTGCAAGTTCCAGAAAGGGCAACAACTCTACTTAAGACACAGCAAGACAACTGCCACAGTTGTAGTTTTAGAATATGTTCATCCACAGATCTCCATAACTTGCCTCACTGTAACATAGCAAGGAATGCAAAGAAAAGTTGTACTTTCAACAGATTAGTAGGATGTCCTTCTAACTACATAAAACCTGCTACCCCTAAGTATCTCTTCTGTTTTAGAACAGGTGAGGAATAAGAACTTATTTATGTCTGCAATTACTTCCATACAAGTTTACATAAGCATAATCTATTTCCTATGATAAACAATATTCAATTCTTGTACCAATTGCTTCCATTTAAAACCCACAAGATTCTTCTCACTTTAGTTTTACCATTCAGAAATATCTGCCATAGTTATATACACTATTTCTTGTCATAAGACAGACTACTACTCTAATTAGTACATTTAATAGCTTGTTTGCTTTCTTTAAGCTTATAAGCATAAGTGAAGAATCTTTTAATCCCTCTTACAAAGCTTTTGCAATAAAAGAAAGAGATGTCTCAATTGATCTTGAAACCATAAGAATATGGTCTACAGGAACTCTGACAGGTTCTCCACACAAAAGATTAACGAGTAACTCTTTTGGCAGCAGTTCCATACATTTGTCTCATCTTCCTTGACTATTCTTTTTACAGAGGTCACTTTTGGTAATACTAGTTTACAGAGCTGAATACACACATTACTTCTGCATTACAGTACTCATTTTAATGAAAGTGGAAAGGTAGAAACTACCCTGTTCAAGTTTTCCTAAAAGAAGCAGGTAAGACAGAAAACAACAAAGGGGAGAAATATTATATATACTATCTATACAACATATTTTATACATATAATTATATAATATTTTGTATAAATATATAGACAAAGTTTTATATATATAATACATCTTATATATACATGTAATAAAAAAGTTTACTATTCACTCACTTTTCTGTTTCACAAGGCAATGAATTATGTAATAAATTATGGAAATGGGAAGAAACCCAGAACATTCTACCTTTTACCTCACTTTTCTTAGGAAATACCTAGAGATTATCAAATAATATAGCAACTAATAAAGACCTTTATTTTAGAACTTTTCAAGAAGCTTTCCAGTTAGCTTTAACTCACTTTCTTCACTGACACTGGGGTTAAGTCATGTGCAAGAGCTATAGAAGCATCAACATTGACGGGGTCACCAGAGCTGACAGCCCAATGAGGACAATTACTACTAAAGAATTTGTGTTTTTCACATTTGAAACTCCACCCTCCCTTTGAAGTTTTGCTCAGTCTCCAACATTTAGAAACACGATCACCATGACCATATCAGAACTGTCATATTTTCTAAACAGAAAATTACTCCATATTTGAAGCAGAATGGATTTTCCTCATTTTATTAGATAATTAATCAGCAAGTATTGAAAAAGAAGGAATTTTCTGTGTTAACCAGAAATGACAGCACAATCACAAAAAAACAACAGGCCACCCTGGAAGACTTCAGAACCTGACACAGTCAGGATCAATGTGATCAGTTACAATAACATTTGGTTTTCAACAAAGTGAGAAGTGGATGTCTAGCCTTTCACGTCAAATAGAGTTAACCATATTTGATTTTGTAAGTTTTCATGTTGCTTTTGTGTTCATGCATTAGTAGCCTACTTCCATCAGTAAGTCAGTCCACACGCTTAGGCCACGGACTTTGAAGTCTCCATCTCGTGTCCTCAGGAGCTCCAGAGCAGCTTGGGTCTGTTCTCTGAGCAGCGCAGGTCCCTGACAGAGGCAGATGAAGCGCTCCCTTAATTCCTCCCAGGACAATTCAGCTTTGTCGAGGCAACTTTTAACCCACCGCCCCTGCAAGGGGTCATAGACCAAGCGGCTTCCCCAGCTGGTTAAGAGGTCCAAATAAGATCTGCTTAACTGGGAATAGTGACCAGCTAGGAAGGCAAGCTGGGAAGACGGGAGGCAAAGGCAGAAGGCAGAAAATCGTTCCTGGTCGCCCAGCAGCCAGGAAAGCAGGAGCCCGGCGGCGCATCCATCTCCTGCAGCACCGGCCTGGTACCCGCCTTGGCTGCTGCCCGCAGCCCGATCCGTGTCCCCGGCCTGCTCGGTGCCGCATCCCTGCGGGAGCAGAGCCAGCGCCGCCGCCACCACGCCGCAGGCGCGGGGCTGGGGCAGCTGCTCCAGAGCGGCGCGCAGCCAGGGCAGCTGCCCCGCGGCCTCCGCTGCCTCCTGCCCTTCCTCCCGCAGCCGGCCCAGCAGCAGCCGTGCCTCGGCCTCCTGCCCCTGCTCCCGCAGCCGGCCCGGCAGCAGCCGTGCCTCGGCCTCCTGCCCCTGCTCCCGCAGCCGTGCCTCGGCCTCCTGCCCCTGCTCCCGCAGCCGAGCCTCGGCCTCCTGCCCCTGCTCCCGCAGCCGAGCCTCGGCCTCCTGGCCCTGCTCCCGCAGCCGGCCCGGCAGCAGCCGTGCCTCGGCCTCCTGCCCCTGCTCCCGCAGCCGGCCCGGCAGCAGCCGTGCCTCGGCCTCCTGCCCTTCCTCCCGCAGCCGGCCCGGCAGCAGCTGTGCCTCGGCCTCCTGCCCCTGCTCCCGCAGCCGTGCCTCGGCCTCCTGCCCCTGCTCCCGCAGCCGGCCCGGCAGCAGCCGTGCCTCGGCCTGCAGCTGCCCCTCCGGCCCGGGCACCAACGCCAGCAGGCGGGCGGCGGCCTTGCGGCGGGCCAGCAGCGCCAGGCCGCGGGGATCGCAGCCGCTCCCCTCGCCGGGAGGCTGCAGGAGGCCGCGGAGCAGGCAGCGGCAGGCGGCGGGCGGCAGAGCGCGGTTCTCCAGCAGCGCCAGCCCCAGGAGCTGCGGGCAGCGGCCCAGCGCGGGGAAGCCGAGCAGGGGGAGCGGCTGAGAGCGGCGCAGCCGCCGCCCCAGGGCCTCCCGGAGCTGCGGACGGGCACGGAAGCGGTGGTGGAGGTGCTGGAAGTACCGGGCCCACTCTAGAGCCCTGTCCAGGGTGAGGCAGTCCCAGTCCCGCACCTGGGCGGAGCGGGACACAGCCAGCAGCGCCGGCAGCTGCTCCACCTGCCTCAGCACGGCGTCCATGGCCCGGGCCGGGCGCTGCGGGCTCCAGCGGGGGACGGCGCTGTGCCTCGCCGCCCTATTGGGGCGGGTCGGGCTCTGCTGAGGGACTTCCGCCGATCGCCCACCGGGGCGGGAAATTGCGAATTGCGAATTGAAACAGAAAAACAACTGACCACCACTTCTTTTTTTTTTTCTTTCTTTTTTTTTTTTTTTTTTTTTTCTTTTTTCTTTTTTATATCGTGTCGACCAAAGCCACCCAAGAGGACGCGAGGTGAGGCCACACCAGAGCAGAGCAGGACAATCACTTCCCGCGACCGGCCGCTCTGTTTATGCTGAGAGGTATAGAACGATATGTAGCATAGTTTTACTAATTATCCCCTAAAAAATAAACGTCTTCAGGAGCAGAACTCCCCCTGCCCCAGCTTTGGGGGTGCTTCTCAATTTCGGTGATAGCTCAGGCCCTGGAAGGCAGCCGTGCCCAAGCTCAGCCGGGAGCTGCCCATCTCTACCCAGGGCTCAAGATTCTGCAGGGGCTGGGCTCACCCTTCTGCCCCACCAATTAATGCTTCATAGCTCATTAGCGATTCCCCATTAGTGACTCCTCTACTTCACCTCTCTGCTACGTGGCAAGCAAGTTAGGCATGACTTGATACAGCCTGTGTTGGAGTGACTGCTCTCAGATGCTTGCCTAATGTTCACTGCCTTAAGGACTTCCACACAGCTGGGTTACAGGTTCTTTCCCTCCGTCCTCATCTCCTTGACAGAGCTACGTCCAGTGTTCCCTCAGAATGTGGAAGTGAGCAAACTGGTCTGGCTTCTGGCAGCTTCCTCAGATGTGCCCTGTGCCCCTGCTCCTCAGGGTTGCAGCGGTGGCATCCAGGTGCTGGAGCTGGGAGGTTTGGGAGCTGCTGGATATGTCTCTGGAAGTTTGCCAGCCCTGTGGCACAATCCTAGCCCTGGAACACGTCTGGAGATAGCAGAGTGGCATGGTGCCTACCTGGTGAGCTCCTGGTGCCTTTGACTGGGCTGGGCTGCAGCAATACCCAGCAGAGGAGGGTGGACACCCTTCTCACCCAGCCTGCCAGAACCTGGCCCTGTGTCCACTCCTGGGGACAGCACTGCCAACCTGCCCAAGCAAATCCTTTCATTTTCTGAAAGGCACAAGTGAGACCTGGCACAGTAAATGAGGTTTGACTGGAATTTACCGCAGGAATCAGAATATTGGCTACAGTATCTCTCATCTAGCACTTTATTGCATTGTTGATTATAGAATTGCTATTATAATTAATAACTTTATACTTACCTATCATCTGCCTTACCTGTATATTCTAGTGCATATTATAAAATAATATACAATGAAGAGAAGAAAGAGCATGCAAAATTTGCAGTTACATGCAGTTGAGTGCAGCACTTTGGGATGTTTGTGTTTTACTTAAATGAAAAAGTGACAGAAACTTAGAGCAGTTGGAATATAATTCAAGATTATATACATGGTATGTAATATGCAATACATATATTCACATATATTTATAGGCCTCTCTGGTTTAATAGTGCACATCTTGAATTAAGGGTTGTGGCACAGAGGAAGAAAACTGTTTCAGTGAATTCCCTGTTTTATTTTGGTAGGGATGTTTTTGGAGGTGCATGGTCTCCATGTTGTAAAGAAGAAAAGATATTTCCCTTTGCATCAGACAACTTTTCACAAGAAATCTTCCACATTACTGTACTTTTTCTTTACTGGATAAAGCATATGGGTTTATATCATATGAATGTCTATGTATGTCTCATTTGAAATAAATCAATCACATTTGCAGCACCAGAATGCTAACAAAAACAGGTTGTGAAAATCTAAGTTGTCTGGAAAAAACACTGTTATCAGGAATACTTTTGTATGTGAAGAGAGATAGCCTGTGTGTTCTAGTGGGTCTCTGACTGAAAAATTAAATTTTCATTTTACAAAAACTGAATATTTCAGCATTTTTTTAACTTAGGATGAAAGTTCTAAATTAAAAGTGTTCATCAAAAGGGCACAGTTTGACATCTATAATAAAATGGTTAATGCAAAAATATCTTTCTGTATTTCTAGGTATTGCAGCTGCATTTGGAGTCTCCTGTCATGATGGGGATGCATATAATGAAAAATAGAGCCTAATCTGAAGAAGCAGCAGAGTTTTGCATTAGACTATTAAAATGTATTGGAAAATTATTTCAAGGAACGAAAAAGAAACAAGGTGTCAGTGAGATGGGTATGATTCTGTTGCACTACAATATCCCATAAAATCCAAAAGTCTTTCTCTACACTCACCATTAAAGGAACTCTTTTTCTTCTCTGAAGTTTGTTATTATTTGAGACCCTGCCCATTCTCAGAATGCATTTTAGGATCTTCTACTGCAAGAGTGGGATCTGTTTATCAGTTGTTTGAGCTGCTGGTGGTGGTACCACATAGCAATCTAATTAAATTGAAAAATGTGATATTTCTTCTTACAGGTGAATTATTTGCATATGAATTTGAGAGCTCTCTTTACTATGACCAGTCTTACATCTAGCTAAGTAATATCTTGCATAGCCATAGGGTTCTTTCTTAGTAATCAGCATTATTATTAAACATCAAAATTTGTACTTACTGTATTATCAACTCATACTAAGGGTGTTGCTACATTATAGTATTGCTGAGTTGTATAGGTATGGTTTAAAAGTACCTGTACAGTACTGAGTTGGTTTTCTATCTGAGGAACACATTAGGATAGTTGGGAAATACTTTGGAAGTAAGTACTGAGAGACTGAAGAGGTGAGGTAGAGAGTTAGTATTGGGGAAAGGAATAGGAGAAGTTCATGTTAGGATGTCAGAAAATACAGCAAGAGCACAGAGATGGGGCAGAGAGAATGGTGAGTGGATTTTCAGATAGCACTGTGTACAGTGTGCTTTCCTGCTTGATTAGTTTTTTAAAAAGAACCCAAGAGTTTATTTCTAGGCTTCACATAGGTCTTGGCTGTTTGACACCTTTAGCCATAGCCAGCCTTTGTGACTCAAGCTTTGTGGAGTAGTATTTTCAGAGGATTCTGATAAGATGATCTCTAAAACAGATAGCTCTTTAAGACTGTTCTTAACAGGTACCTAAAAAGGAGGGCTGGGTTCTAGCTAGAAGAACGGATGAATTTGTGCACCGGATTCTGTAAGAAAAATACCTAAGATACATAGATAAGAGTGTTCTTGGCTTCCTGCTTTCTCTACTAATGATGCTTGTCTCTCATGCTGTTCTATGGTATGTTTGGATGTGTATTTCATGTTATGTAAACTATATAGAGTCTCTCTATTTTTACCTAACAAGAAGTGAAACTCACAATGATACCTTAAAGAAAATCATACAGAAGAATTATCACTTCATTACAGAGTCTGAAAAAATAACCTTTGTAATGTCTCATTTAAAAGCAAATAAGAAAATACAAGACAGAACAGCCTATCTTAAATGATAGGCTAGAGCCCAGATTTACCATCACAACATATTGGATTGTTCAGATGTCTGCTGTATACTTCTAAGTAGGTGTGATAGTGTGAACAGGCGTGGCCAGTGTTTCTCATGTTATAGGTTTTGTTTCTGTTTTGTTGTTTAGTTTGGTTTTCCCCAGAAAAGTCTAAAGTCTATTTTGTAATTTTTAAAATTTAATCTCTAAAATGAGCATTAAAATAAGAGTTTTGAGGATATTCATCTATGGTTGTGTTCAGCTACAGTAAATGTTCCTCCATTACAGCTTTTGATTGATAACATACATGGCAGAGAAAGTTGATGAGGAAGTAAAGAGATACAAAAGTCTGAGAAGTCATTTTCACAGCTCCCTGAAAACAAGCCCACTTTTCAGTGGAGCACTGCAAAGCAGTTTCACAAGTCTTGCATTTAATATGAATTACTGTGCTGTTTTATCTAAGCTGAGAAGTCAAGTAAAAGATTCATATGAAGTTTTATGGAACTAGTGAGTTTCTTCACTCTGGTTACAGAGCCAGTAAAATTCACCCTGGCAGGAAATACCAGTTTTGAAGCAAAATTGGTCAAGGTAGCCAGAAGTCTGGATTTCATTGCTATATTTTTCTTCCTCACAGAAGTCATGTTGGCTATAAAATTGTTATACTATTTCTCCTGAACAGAAATGCAGGACATTGTTTACTCATTCTAACTAGCATTATAAAACTCAAAAATTATCTTTCCTTAGATAAGGGGGTGTTATTAATACATTGAGAGAGAGATGTATGATCATCTTTTATATTTCTGGCACTAATATTCACTTTCTAACTTTAAGGAGATTTGTTTTGCTGCCTCAAATTGTGTGTTAGGCACAAGTTTGCCATACTTATTATCTTACATGTAGTGAAGACTTTAAACTTGTGACCTATTCTTGTAGAATTTCTTTCTATTTCTGCAACAAACTCTGTGGAAAACTGAGGTTAATAGTCAAACCCCTACCTGGAAGACTATCTTACCCCTTCCATATCTTCTGATGAGGTACTTAGATTTATTTTTTTCTGTGTCAATGTAATCTCTCAGTATCTCAAAAAGGGGCAAGGCTGTTTTGGGCTGTTGGTATGAGAACAGATCAAATTGCATAATAAAGGTATTGAACCTACTAATTTGTACATCAGCATGAGCCTCAGATTGTACAAAAGGTATATCTGTCATCAGGGGGATTTCCCCTGAAACCTCTAAGCCTGCTTGTGGTGTGTCATTCTATTAATAGCAATGCCCATTTGTGATGAGTTAGGCTATGATTTTAGTAACTGGTGTCAACTGAAAATTGACTAAATCTCAGTATGTTGAAAGAATGCTATATATAGCATGTCACTGAGATAACCTAAAAACATCACTCTAATTGACCTACATCTGGCTATACCAAAACTGGGGTTTTTTGTATAAAAAGTCCAATTTTGCAGTCAAAATTATGTCTAATTTTGATACTATGAGTCAGAACCATACCAGCAAAACTACTAATCTAGGGGTATAGCTCTTCAATATCATAGACATAAACATAAGTATAATTGGGTAGCAAATGAAGTCCTCTTTTCTGTGTGGTTAATCAATTAGAAGTGAAGTTAGTGCAGACATT